CACCAGGTTAATCTTGGCCGTCCCCTGGGCCTTTTGCCGGTCGGATTTGCAAGGAACAGTTGCTAAGCCTCCCTTTCTGGAGGCATTCGCAGCACATGCCCAAGCCATCGCAGCTGATATTTGAAGATTGCTTGTTTTATTGATATTGCAAGTGCACACTTATATACTTAAGGAAGAGTAATATCGCTAGAATGCAACTGCTTATTATAGCTGCTATAGCGTAATAAATTTGAACATCAAACAAAAATAGGTCAACGTCGTAAATCTGGGGCATTGAGGGAAGCTACGTTGGCTCATAACAATGTGGCTTTCGCAGAAGCAAGTAGCGAACGTGGATCGGGGCAGTTGATTTTGAGTGAAGCAGGATGATGCCCATCATCAATATCATTAATCGTGCGTGGTCGACGTTTAACTCACTCAGCCGGCGAACAGTGCCATCTGGCTATGACTAATAAGCCGACCTCCTGCTTGTTCGTTGTTCTGCAATGACGCGAAAGCATTTGACTACCCGTAGTTAGTAAGAGTCAAGCTTTGGCCAAACTCATTCAATATTGTCCAGCTATGCCAATCATCACTGAGTTTCAGGCTTGGAGCGCCATGGCACAATGGCATGAGGCTTGCTTCGACCTCCGGGGATGCTGAGTTCCAACCCGCACAAAGGACACCTTTTGTCTCAACCGTGAAATGATTCTCTTGAGTAAGGAACCTACCCAACGGTTCTTCAGTGCAACCTGTCGAGATGAAGGTAGAAAGTTGCTGACTTGCGAACAACATGGGCAGCATGGAGTTATGATGGGTCGTACCTGAAAGAACGAGAGATACGGTAATGCTTCTGACACTAGTACCTCGTATGGCTGCACTTCGCCTTCACGCGACTGAGAACTGCTTATTCAATATGATGATCAGCTAAAGTTGGGACCCCTGTCAGAAATAATTCAAAAACGGAAGTCAAAAGAATGCGCGGTAGTAGCGAAGGTCATGTGGCCATGAATACGCAACACTAAGACAATTCCAACTGATGCCACGGGAGGCGTTTTCTGTACTATAATCAACGCGAAATTGAAGGATGCCGCAAATGGCTTCCAGTCATGACAGTGTAAGTGACACCGATAT